TTTTTCGGTGTATCTTTTGCTCTTTGGAGTTTGAACATGTTTTGTTTCTAGCCAGATTTGTTTGTGTTTTCATGTGACTGCTATATATCCCCTCTCTCTTCCTCTTCTGAAGATTTTGTGGCTTATGTTCATTTAACATCATTTTTTCTTATGTTTTCTTTGTTATATATAGATAACTCTTTTGGAATTTTATTGTGATGTTTTACAGACCCTCTCTGCCTGTTCTATTATTTCATCAATACTGCATGTGACATAAAGATCTAACTCAGGGTTAAGGATGAGCTACAGTAATAGACTGCTAGCCTGTATGAGGCTGTGGGTTTGACACTTAGACAACAAATTAGTTGTCTTTCAAATGCAGTAAAATCAAATTGCCACGTCAAATATTAATTAGTTACCTATGTTGCTTTTATTCAGCAAGTGTATCCTTTTTTGCTTTCTGCTGCAGTACAAAATTTAAAAATATAATCAAATACAATCTCACATCTCTATTTTAACCATACATTTTTTCCTATAATCATAAATGTAACTTTAGTTACAAGAAGTGGAGAGAAGAGAAAATGAGCTATAAGAAATAATGATTATTAGCAAGCAAAAGCTGAACACACTACACATAGAAAGGAAACATAGGAGCTGATGAGAAGTGCAAAGAGACTGGATTAGGAAGGAGCACAGTTTCACAGTTTCAAACAAACCCCAATTAGAATACAATGGATTCTTTGCTCCCATTGATCCTTTGTTACTGTGCAAGCTTCAGAACAGAGGCAAGCCACTGATTAAAATTAGTGGAAGACCTTCTTCCCAACACCCCATTTTCCAAATGCAAATTAATGGTTTCTGTGATCAATAAATATCACTGACACCATCTTGAAGAAGGGTTCAGGTAAAATGAATGATCATTTGAGATGAACAACCTAAGGTGGTCAGGAAGGGACTGTTTGGGAAGACTCACTCATCATGAGTAGTAGGATAATAATATCCAGTGAAGGCCAATCAAGTAGAAGGCCCCTGTAAGGACTAACTGGGTCCATATTATCAGATTATGGTTCTATCATCACATTGAACATTTGCCTTTCTGTGTTTATAGGATTGTTCCAGAATAAGCAAATCCTAAAGTATTATATTAGTAGAATTACTGCTTCTATCTATTTCTAACAGCAACACTTGCTGAGGAAAAAAACGATAAAACTTTAATTTAATTGCTTTTCTAGGTAGGTAATTATCTTCCCTGTCTTGTCTAACTTATGTTCCATGCTAATTTGATTGACATAATTGTGAGGTTCTCCCTTCCCCTACAGTTTTTCAGCTTTCCATTATCTCTGTGGTGAATTAAATTTATATGATTTACTTTTGTTGACTTTCTCTTTACAAATGTGGAGTTCTTTTTCCACAAATGCTTCTGATACTGGTAGGCTAAGTCAAGAATCCTAGAGAGATCCTTCTAGTTAATAGTGGTCCATCCTTAGGAATGACTGGCATTATTTTTCAAGCCTATTCCTTGAAGTCCAAAAGTAAATTCAAGGACCTGATATTGCATTACATAGCATCTTACTTTTATTAGGTCAGAAATATTTTCTCTATGTATTTGTACATATCTTCTTATGCAGCACAACAACAAAAATGAAAACTTATTAATAAGATCATTCCCAATAGTAATGCTGTTTAAACATCTATGATATGTCAGGACTATAAGAAATAACTTAGATGTACTGTTTTTTTGAATTTCCATGAAATATCTACTATTTTTGTTATAAAAATAAGCAAAATAAAATTTAGAGTTGCTAATATTGTCCATGATCACATATTTTATAGGCGTACTTTTAAAATAAGGGGTTGATCACACTACCTATTGTAATTCACTTGAAATCATGTGAATTATTTTGAAAAAATAATATTATACCTCAATTACTTCTGGGAGAACTTCAGCCTACTCAAAGTCATGTAAAAAGATGGAGTTCCAATGTGAAGGTTCTGTTATAGTTGGTATCTATGGACATGCAGAAACCATTCTAGCAGCAGTACAAACATCAATCATTTACTGTGCTCAGGGGGTTGAGTATCAGTAGTTCAGACAGGCTGTGGTGGAGACTTGTTGACTCCATGATGTCTTGGGCTTCAGCTGGGCTGGCTCATTTGTGGTCATTCACCTTGTGAAGGTTAATTGGCTTTGTCAGCTTCATTGGCTTGGGAAGCATCTAGGCGATTATGAAAGCATTCCTGTGAGTGTATCTGTGTGGGCATTGCCAGGGATGATTAACTAAGGAGGGGAAAACTGTCCAGAATGTGGGCAGCACCATCCTAGAGGTTGGGAGATTGGATGGACAAAAAGGAGAAAAAGTAAAAAAACAAACAAACAAACAAACAAACAAAAACAGCTTGAGCAGACATACTCATTCTGTTTCCTGCTGCCTTGATGGGAGCCTTTCTGTCACACCATCCCCAACATATGAAACCTTTGGAAATTCTGAGCGAAATAACTAATTCTCTTAACTTGTTCTCTGCTATAGTTTCTCACAGCTACAGAAAGCTAGCTAATGCATGTCTAGTGTGTTAGTTCTTGTCACTGTTTCTTGGCTCTCTTCTGTATCTTATTTGCCTTGTCTGAAATGTCCAGAATAATCTTATTCAGTGTAACTGAGCTGGAGAGGCTGGGATTCTTCAGGATCATTCCTTCTGAGGGACTGGCTCCATAACATGGCTAGTTTAGAGTAACTGAAGTATTTACAAGGCAGATAGCTTCTGCCAAAGCAAATTTTCTTGGATGTCCAGCTGGAAGCTGAAAGCTTTTTAGGAATCATTCTTGAAAGATCCAAAGTAGTTCCCCCACCCGCACTGTGTTCCTTTGATGAAGGGTAGGTTGATCTCTCATGGTTTGAGTAGCACTATGTGTAATGACTAGACTGCTGCTCTTTTGCTGTGACTTTGTTACAGATACTGCTAAGAGAATAGCTGCATAGTAAGGTTGTGCTTTGATTGGGCATGGAGAAAGGGAGAAGAGCTGGCTCATAAGCACCCGTGCCAGAAATCTGTCGGTCATCCCTCACCCTCAAGTGTCTTCAAAGAGGAACAGTCAGCTAGCCAGAAAAACACTGACAACCAACCAAAGATCAAAGTGTATTGTTGTCTGGTTAGGGAATAGATGTCACCCTTGATTTCATAGCTGCATCCTCTTCAGGTGAGCCAGACCTATGTGGGGCAGGTGCAGGCTGAATACACACACACACACACACACACACACACACACACACACACACACATATTTCAACATGTGCTAAAACTTGTTGGTACGTGATTCAAATGTAATAATTTTTGGTTAAAAAGTTAGTGGTGAGTATATATTTATAATTATTGTATTTATTGCAATAAGTTAAATATGGACACAATTTGTCTTCAGTTATATCTAATTATAACTAATACTACTCTATTAGATAAGAGAATTTAGTGTGTACTATATTTATGACTTTTGGACTTTGAAAGGAAACGACCTCTGGAAGTTCTACTGAATTTCTGACAAGGCTTTATTTTGTTGGTGGTTGGAGAGGAGGCATAAGAGTCATTTAATGTAGATAATCATCCAATTCTAGAATCAAACATGGGCTACATGAGAAGTTGTGTGGGGCTACAAAAGGGAAGGAAGAGAAATACCAGGGTAATAATTAGTATCCAGTTCTTGGTTCCAAACATTTATAAATGTCAGTCATATTTCCTGGTCTTGACCTCAGTATCTGTGAATCCCTTCCATCTCTTTCATCAGCGACAGTAAAGTAAACACAATTGGAAACATCTGGAATAAAACTTCAGAGAATCTCTTATAAAATTCACAGATATTTGTCTAGAGATTGTTGGGCTTTGGACAAACCTGCTGACTGAAAGCAACTTCTCTGAAATGAATGTGAGTTACCAAACAAGTGTGGCTACATCTAAGATTGTATAATATGTGCAGAAATGGAAAAATGTCATTTTTAATTCTCAGAACTTATTATACCTATCAGAAACTATTCTCCTTTTTGTCTTTCTGTATTAGGCTCCATCTATGACCCAAATGGACCAAAATCTATCGAAAAGAAAGTCTTCCATTTAATGTGATTGTACTTGCAGATTGAGGAGTAGAAAATAGAAAATATTATTAATACTGAGAAAATCAATCTTCCAACTTTCGAAGCTGACTTCTTGTTCCTTCCCATTTGTTTCTATTTATCATTACCTGTTGGCTTTTATGGGCCAGTGATGGTATTTACTTTTGATGAGGTTACTTTATTTCAAGTCCAGAGACTGGAACAAGCCATTATTCACTAATAAGCATCATTTATTTTCATTTGATTTCTTGGGTTCTTAGTTCGTGGATGCTTATTAAATTGAATAATAAATACACTTGAGGACTCTGGAATATTGCAAAACATTTTCTTCTTGATGTTCTTGAGATAAAAACATTTACAAGATCATGTGACCTCTGTATTTGATTTCCCCTACTGCTGCCCCTGAGTGACCTTGGGTACTTACTACTGAGCATTCTGTGGCTATAAAGTGCAGTGGAGCTTTAGAAGCATCTGAGATTTTAAGTTTTTTGAGGTTTTATTTTTATTTTATTTATGTGTAGGTGTGTGTGTGGTGTGTGTGTGTGTGTGTGTGTGTGTGTGTGTGTGTGTGTGTATGTATGTGTGTGTGTATGCCATGTGTGTGAATGCCTGCAGAGGCCATAAGAGTGCATAAGATACCATGAAGTTAGGGTGTTTGACAGTTGAGTCTCACCCGATGTGGGTCCTGGGAAGAGAATCTCAGTCCACTGGAAGACCAAGAAGTGCTCTTAATCACTAAGATTATGATCACTATCTCTCTAGCCCCCAATTTTGAGTTCTTTAGAGATTAATCAATTAATGTTCTTAATTTTACGGAACAAAATTTAAACCACATCCATGTTAATTACCTGGACTTGAGTTCTCATTTAGGGCAGAAACTCAGTTCTCGATGAACATTATATAAATTCACATCATGTAAATAAAAATGATGCTGTAGTTTTTATCTTAATTATAAGACAGTCAATCCCAGTTGATTCCTCCCCCATTTCAGGTATCTTGGCCTTGAGCCAGCATTGTGCTACCTCACAATCCTGCCATGATGTGTCCTTGTGCAGCTGTGTTGCTTAGGTGGCCATTTAAAACTTGACCTAGAAACCACAAAGATTACAAATGGTATGAATTCTAAAAAAGTTATTGTGTTTATTAAAGTTTATTATTTGCTGATAGTTTCATATAGATATTGATACATTATACAATTAGTAAATATTATCAAAAATATGCATTTTTTTTTAAAAATACCGATTCCCTGCCACCTTCCAGCCAACTACTTCGCACTCCATTATATTGAAATGGAAAAAGAAAAGCATTAACACTCTAAATTTCCTAAGCTTATGTAAAATTCTACTTTTGTTTCTGGCAAAGATATTCTTCTTAAGAGTTTTAAGTACAGTTTTTAAGGGAAAGGAGTCTCCTCCAAATCATTCAATGTTACCCTTTCCTATTGGTTTTTAAATGTAGGTGTATTTGTAACATTGGAATTCTAGGAATGTAGTTCTTTTTAGACAGGAGAATGTAAAGGAGTCCCCCAGCAATCAGAATGTTTTAGCATGATTTCCAACAGAACTCTGAAGCTGAGCTAGCTATTCAAACAAAATGTGCTTGATATTTTTAAAAAATTGAGAGTCTAAGAAGAAAGCTACAATCCTCATATGTATGTTCCACTATTTAAATCCCATGAGGGTATCTTTCAGGAAAAAAAAATATGTTACCAAATCCCTTATAAATGCATGGAAATTTAAAATTGAATCGAGTCATACACCTTTGAAAGTAATTGGACTACTATTTAGTACATTAGCAGATACTCAATATCTTTGTGGCTTTAAAAAATGTGATCCTTGAGCAGGGCAGTGGTGGCGCACACCTTTAATCCCAGCACTCGGGAGGCAGAGGCAGGCGGATCCCTGTGAGTTCGAGGCCAGCCTGGACTACCAAGTGAGTCCCAGGAAAGGCGCAAAGCTACACAGAGAAACCCTGTCTGGAAAAACCAAAAAAAAAAAAAAAAAAAAAAAATGTGATCCTGGTTGACTTAGTGCAGCATGATAATTCTTAGTATTTTAATAAGCAATGATATTTTGGTATTAGGGCATCATTGTAAGTAGGTGTTTCAAGCATTCCATTGTAAATGATGCATTCAGTCATGTGATCCTTTAAAATTCACCATTTGATTTTTTTTAACCAACTACTTAAATCTCATAGTTCAAACCAAAGATATTCACTTTTACTGAAAATTTGATCTTTGAGAATGTTTTATTCGAAAACAACCTTCTTCCTTTTGTGCTTCTAATCATTTTCCTCCCTTAGGATTCTGTTTACAGTGTAAATTTTGAGAAAATGTGAGTAAACAAATCTTTGAGAAACAAGGCACACACACATACAAAATAACCTGTCTCTGTGATTTAAAAGGCATATCAAAGATCATCCATAGCTTCCTGGGAGTCAGTTTTATGGGTCAGTGGGTGTGGGGAGAAAAAGTATCTGAGGCTGGTAACAGTTCCCAGAGGAGGACCCAAGGAACATCATTCCTGTAAACTCTTAGAGGAAACAAGTGTTTCTGGTTACATAAACATATGAAGTATTCGTTTTTAATCTCTTTTCTGGAGAGTCACAAGTCCTTAGTCATATTAAATGTCCTGAGAACTTTGCCAAAATTTTGAAACAGATCTTATAAAATGTATTTATCAAACATTTTAAAAATAGAACTCGGGAACATGCTACTGACATTTTGTAAAACAATAATAGCAGACAATACCACATAGATACTGTTTTTAAGATTAATTATTTTCATTTTATCTGTGAGTGCTTACGTGTACGCATGTGTACCTACATGTTTATATGTACACCACATGTTCACAGGCTAGAGGAAGCCAGGCAAGGGCACTAGATCCTTTGGAACTGGAGGTACAGGTACTTGTGAGTCACTTGATGTGGGTTCTGGGAACTGAACCCCAGTCCTCTGCTAGAACATCAGATGCTCTTTTTAATAGCTGAGTGCTGTAGGATGGTCTGTATGTCAAATTACTCGGATTGGTCAATAAATAAAACACTGATTGGCCAGTGGCTATGCAGGAAGTATAGGCGGGACTAACAGAGAGGAGAAAAGAAAGAACAGGAAGGCGGAAGGAGTCACTGCCAGCCACCACCATGACCAGCAGCATGTGAAGACACCAGTAAGCCACGAGCCATGTGGCAAGGTATAGATTTATAGAAATGGATTAATTTAAGCTATAAGAACAGTTAGCAAGAAGCCTGCCAGAGCCATACAGTTTGTAAGCAATATAGGTCTCTGTTTTTACTTGGTTGGGTCTGAGCGGCTGTGGGACTGGTGGTAGACAGAGATTTATCCTGATTGTGGGCAAGGCAGGAAAACTCTAGCTACAGCTGAGCCACCTAGGTAGATAATTTACAGACCGATGAGACAGAAGTAGGGCAGGGGGGAAAAGTGAAAGACAGACACATAGGAGTCTAGCTAATTTGAGATTCTTAAACTCTTAGACATTTTCCTTAAAAGACAGAGGCCTTTAAAAATGAGGTTATTAGATGAATGGATATAAAACTAGAATTACTTAAATTAGTACATTGCCACATATTTTTAATAAGTGATCTGAACTCAATAGATCTCACTGTATTTCCTAAGTATGAAGCAAATTAGAATGATTAAGTTCCTTGCCTCCAATCAGTTATTGTTTTAGACAGGGGCACATTCTGACATAAAACTAGCTTTAGTCCATAGCCCACTTGCTATTCATTATGCCACAGTCCCATTACCTTCTCTGAAAACAAACAAACAAAAAAACTAAACAAGGAAACAAATAACCTGACTTAAAAATTGGGTTACAGAAATGAATTGACTATTCTCAAAATACACAAATTTCTAGTAAATACTTAAAATATGTTCAAGGAAGTTCAAATTACTTTGAGATGCCATCTTACCAAGTTAGAAAAATGATTTTCATTATGAAAAATGACAACAAACACAAATGAGAATGCAGAAATGAGGGAAACCTTACATACTGTTGATTGTGAAAACTGATACAGCCAGTATAGAAATACGTATGGTGATTTCTCAAAATAAACAAACAAAACAACAAGAATAACAAAACCCCAAAACAACAAACAGACAATAGCAACAGCAACAACAACAACAGAACTCAAAAAAACCTAGAAGTACAAATTGCATATGATCCGACTGTACCATTCTTGGACTGTACCCTATCACAGGCATGCTTGCACATTCAGTAGCATCCCATGAGGAAATGTCTCTCTCCAAATGGTCCCATTCCACTTAATCACTTTGTACTATAATGTCATAAACTCTGCCTGTCTTCTACACTTTACTTTTTTACATCCCATCTAGATTCATTCAACAGGGATTACAATGAATGAGGTTCACTGTGAGATCTCAGAAACTGTGAGCAGGGCAAAGGGTCAGTTGCTCTTGTCAGCTACTAGGCAGGCCTAATGGCCATGGGGAATTGACATTCACTACCAAAGTTGGTCTTACTCAGTTTCACGTCTATGGGAGTAAACTCTTGTTTACTTGGCTCAATTTCATTTTCCTTGATGCTCCGTTATCCAAGTTGTGGTGGTCAGAAATGTTTAGACTTCAGCAGATGCTAATTGCTTAATACTGGAGTTTTAATGAATAAATTTTGCTAAATTATTTAATACTCAACTACAGAAATGATGAAATGGCTCAGTAGGCAAAGGCACTTGCTGCCAAGCTTCATGACTTGAGTCTGAGGACACACATGGTAGAAAAAGATAGCCAATTTAAACAAATTATCCTCCAACCACTACACAGACACCATTACACACACACACACACACACACACACACACACACACACACACACACATACACACACAGAGTTTGATTCTTTTCTTCTCATAGTACTTCAACTTAGAATGAATAAGTTCTACTATCTATGCATCCTATTCCTTGTTCTCATGTTTTTATAAGCTGATGCCAAAGCTAAGTATGTAACTTTTGATGTCCCCATTTGAGAGCCCTGCTATACTTTTGAAACTGAGTACAGAAGTGTAAATGATAAGGATTATTACATAGTATATTGCTAATGTTCACCATCTGAAAAATCCTAAAACACCCTTTAATATAATATCTTTTATTTATTATTTGACAGTTTCATACATGTAAATGAGTTATCTGGAATTTATGTACTCCTTACACATCCCCCACCCTGTCACACTTCCTCCAACTGATCTTGTTGGCTTGATCTTATACAGGTAAGCATAGCTGTCTTGAGAACAGTCATGTCATGTCTGTCTTATCCTCCAGCCCTTATATCCTTTCTGGTTATGTCTTCAGTGACTTTCATTGGGCCTTGGAGTATTATAGGAGGTTTGATATGGAAGTTCCATCTAACCCCGAGCACTCAATAGTCACTTACGCTCAGCACTTTGACTAATTATGAGTCTCTGGATTGACTATTGTCCATTACAAAGAAATGCTTATTTGGTCATGGTTGAGGGCAGCATTAATCTATGTATATAAACACAATTATTTAGAAGACAGTTTGATAACATGTTTATTTATCAACATAACAATAGTAGGTTCCTCCCATTGTTTCCATAGCCATGGGATTTTTGCCAGGTTTTCAGTATCAGACATGAATTCCCTTTTGTGAAGCAAGCCTCAAATCTAATCTAAAAACAGTTGGTTACTCTTATAACCTTTATGCCACCATTGTATCAGTGAGTACAACTTGTATGACAAGTTGGTGCTGTAGCATGCAAGGCTCACTGCTAGGTTACACCATTGATAGTTTTTTCCTCCAGCAGCCTCTATACCACCTTCTGGATTAAAACATTTTTTTGTTGTTGGCATTATAAAGTCGTAAATTTCCTGGTTGAATGATATGTGTTTATAAGTATGTACATGTCATAAGTACATTTTCCTCATAAGTACCTTTTTCTCAAGAAATAATAAAAAAGGGGGTGATTAATAGGAATGTTATAGAATACTGATTGCTACTTGAATTACATATGCTTCCAAAGCAAATAAATGAATTTTCTTACTTTTATATTAACCTAGTTGTATTGATCAGACTGTTGAACACATGTTGGATTT